GGGCTGGTGGTGAATGTAAAGCTCAAGGGCAGCCTGACTGCAGTGACCATGAAATGGTGGAGTTCGAGATCCTTAGGGGCAATGAGGAGGGTGCACAGGAAGCTTGTTACCCTGGGCATCAGGAGAGCAGATTTAGGCCCCTTGAGGGATCAGGTTGGTACAGTATCATAGGATAAAGCCCTGGAGGGAAGAGGGGCCCAAGAAAACTTGTTAATACTGAGGGATTGCCTCCTGCAAGCTCATGAGGGATGCATCCCAGCAAAGAGGAAGTCAGGCAAAAACACCATCAGTGTGAGCAGCAGCTGTGGGGAGACCTTCCCTGCAGTCCTGATCCAGCTCTGGGACAACAGCACAAGAGGGATGTGGAACTGTTTGAGCGTGTCCAGAGGAGGCCAGGGGGATGCTGTGAGGGCTGGAGCAGCTCTGCTCTGGAGCCAGGCTGAGGGAGCTGGGCTGGTTCAGCCTGGAGAAGAGAAGGCTCCAGAGAGACCTTGCAGAAGCCTTTCAGTACCTGAAGGAGGTGATAGGACAAGGGGGAATGGTTTTAAGCTGAGAGGGGAGATTGAGATGAGCTCTTAGGCAGAAGCGCTTTCCTGTGAGGGTGCTGAGGCACTGGCACAGGGTGCCCAGAGAAGCTGTGGCTGCCCCATCCCTGGCAGTGTTCAAGGCCATGTTTGAGGGGTTGGAATTAGATGATCTTTAAGGTCTCTTCCAACTCGAACCATTCTGTGATTCTATTTAAGTTTTACTCATTGAGGTCCAAATGTGTTTTCTTCTCAGTGAGATACATGTCCTGACCAGTAAATCGGCTGGGGGTAGTTATCTTGGAAGCCTACAAAATGATGACATCACATTGCAATTAGCAGGCAATTTAAAGACATTTAAACAATTACATTTTCACCTGCACTAATTGGAACCACAGCTGTTTTCTTGCCTCCTGTTTTTGGAGCAGTGGCCACAGGGTATTAACTCATGGGGAAAATAGTAATGTATTAAGAAAATGTGCAGACACCAGTGGTTTGGAGAGGAGCCAAGCTGTAAGGTTCTGTGTTAAGGGTGTTGCAAGGCAGCTATGTTTGGTACAGAGCTGAAGAGGAGGCATGAAGAAAATACCATTACTGTGTTCTTAGTTGGCAGGTCACTGACTGTGAGGGATCTTGTCAGCAAAAATAGCAACAGATGTCTTAATGCTAGGCCAATTCTCTCCTGACATCTTGGGACAGGACCATTCTTAGAGTCTGTTATTATGTTGTTACAGTTGCATAGTATGTATTTAAATGTTAGAGTCACAGCCAAGAAGATCTAAAGATAGGAGGGTGGGTTTAGCCTTTAGTGGTGAGAGTGGAGCAAAACACACCCATGGATAGATAATGTGGCTATCCTGGTATTATTTAAAGCTGCTAATCATCTAAACATCTACTGGCAGAGAAGCAGAGCCCTGTTTACTGAAGTCAAGCCTGTTGGAAAAAGACTTGCTTTTCTAAGTTACCTTTAAGAGATCACTGTGGGCTGTGAACTAAAAGTAGTTCAAGACAGCTGTCCCCCTATTCATCCAGAATTAGTGAACCACAGATTGAAATTCATGGCAATGCCTCTGTGAAAACAGAAAGATGTAAATTAAAGGTGTGCAATATAGCATGGTGTAATACTGAATGGGAAAGGAGTGGTTGCACTCACTGGTTTAGTGTCTGTGAAAAGCAGACAGCAGCGAACTCCAATCCCCTGCATAATAATGCTAACACAGTATTGCTACAGCTCTTTCCCCACTCCTGCAGTCTGGAGGGCTGTGGCAACCTTGGAAACCAAAAGCAGCAAATTCCCTCTTCAGAGTTTTGCAGTCTGCAGGTGAAGGGAAGGAAGCTGGGAAGCTTTACAAAGGAGGCAGAGGATTCACAGCAGAGCTTTAGTTTCCTTGCTGTTAAGAGCTGATTCTCTCCAGTCACCACTTTGTATTTCTTCTCTGGATCCTACCGGTAATCATCAGTTTGCCCGAATCTTCATCACCCTCCATGGATTATAGTTTACTACTTACCATCTTCAGTCTTTCCTTCTCTATCTTCTTGGAGTAGAGAGAAAACTTGCCTGAATTCAAGTAAATACAGCTTCGGGGGGCAAGGAGAAGGAAGATTAAGTCTCCGGCAATGCAACATCCTATAGACATCAGCAAGTCTTCAAAGTAGCATCTGGCAGGCTTAAGGATGGGTTTTATCTATTTTTCTGACACATACTGGGTTGTAACCTGTCCTTGTTGATGTGTCATTACAAGTGGACTGTAAATCTGTGGTACATAAGAAAGGTAAGGGCTTCAGAGGGAATTTTACATTACAGAGCATCTCTGATTTCCACAGTGTTCCCTGTTTAAAGAGACCTTCCAATTGTCCCAAACAACCCTTTTTTAGAAGACTGCTAAGTTACAAGATTGCTGCACAGGCTGTATCCAGATGTGTACTGCTGTCTGTGCCCTCTAAAAATCTTATCTCTGGTAAAATGTCTTCTGTTCCCTCTGCTGTTACAGCCTTTGCTCTCAAGTGGATCATCTCAGCCAGGCAGCTGCTGACTTTGGTTTTTCCTTCCCTTCTTGTGAAATTTTCTTGGCTATTCTTCTGGATAGTACACTTGTTTTGAATAAGAGACCATGCACAGATAGGGCAGCCCTGGGGTTTCCAGGCTGGTCCAGCCCAGCCCTCTGTCATCTCTTTCTGTACTGCCTCAGACAGCACTTCCTTTGCAGTGGGCATCATCCTTGCTTTGCCTGTCAGCAGCCACAGCTGGGTCAGAGAAGCCAAAGCTGTTCCCAGGCCTAGGACTTAAGTTTAGGCACTGCTTTTCAGACATAATGAGCTCTTCATCAGAAGCTTAATGAACCTGGTCACCATTAGCCCAGATTTCAGTGGTGTCTCGGCTCCTCCTCAGCACTGTTACCCACGCACAGAGCCCTCGGAGCTCCCACTGCCTGCATGAAGCAGAGCTCTGCTATTTGTACTGGGAGAGGCCGGGGGGCTGCTCAGCTCCCTCTGCCTCAGCTGAACCAGGCCTGCATTTGGCCATTTGGTTCAGAAGTGATTTGTTGACAGCAAAGGAGATTCAAGCTCAGCTCCAGCCTCTAGAGAAGCTGTTGCTACAGTGCTTTCAGGCTACTTTTTGTCCTTGTGCCTCCCGTTTCTTCCTGTCATATTTAAGTCTTGCTACCATCTCTCCCTTCCTACTCAGCCTCCTGCCACATGCCAACCCTTTCTCCCCACCTGCACCTCACAGTCTCTCTCACTTGCCGTTGCCCTCTTGTTCCTTTACAAGCCACCGTTCCCTGGCTCCAGACCATCCCTGCTGCCAGCTCTTCCACCATCACTTTCCTTTCAAGCCTCTCAACTCCTCTGCATCTGCTCAGACTGCTGTTTCCTCCTCCTTCTCCTCCCTCAGGCACTGGCAGGGGGATCACTGAGACCACAGGATAGATCATCCCCTATGCTTCCTTCCAGCTCCTAGTTTTCCTGAGGAAAAACAACTACAGAGAGAGGCCTGCTTCAAGCCTTGCTAATGGATGGTACAGTCAATTCAGCTTGCACAGGTTTTCCTGGGCTTTTGTGATTTGTATCCTGGAGCCTTTTTCAGGGTCGTAAGTTGGCTAAATATGGATTAATTTTTATAGGGTTGGAGAAGAGTGTATCTGTAGCTATGGCTCATCGCCATGTTTGCGTCTCAAACACGAGGGGCTAGATTGAGCAACAAGCTGGCTGCAGGGCTATTTCAAATAGGAGATGATCACCAGAAAAGGGTCTTCAGACAGACAGCATGCCTTTTAAGGAATTTTGCTTAAACAAAGTAAGATATTTGGCAGTGACCATCACCTCCATCCTGATGTTTTGGGAAGAGGTTTATAAGGAAGGCTTGACCGTAGTACGTCCAATCCGTACTATGTGAGGATGCGTGTTGTCTTTTCTTTCTCCTTCAGTGTGTTTCTTGATGTAGATATGTTTTTGATAAATGAGTTATAACTTATTCTTGGGATGGTTGGACTCCTTAAGCAGTCAGGTTTTCCTAATTTCTCTTAAGTTTGCACTTTTTTTTCAAGTCCTGACTTTTTTCTCTTCCCCAGTGAGGAGATAATAGAAATACAGCAAAGTTTTTGAAATAAAAGGAGAAATACAGTAATTACAAGGAACTGATCTTGTAGACTCAACAATAACATTTTGGCAGTAGAAAAACACGAGAAAAATAAAGGGTTCTTTGGTTTGTGTTAATTTCCTCAATGAAAACCAGGCTGGTTTTGGGTAGCAGTAATAGGTATAAATGCAGCTACAGTGCTGGTGATGGTACATCAGTTCAGGGTCCCCAGGGCTGTGTAAGATGGTTCCAGAAACTAGTATCAAAATGAAGATCTCTGCATGGATATTCCACACTTAGCCTGTGATACAGAGGTGACATTAGAAGGCTGGTACCTGCTGAGAGCAGGACCATGGCACGTTGCAGTCTTGTGATCCAGGAGCTGCTGTGTTATCTGGGTTTACCAAAGCTTAGGGGCTGTTCTTCCTGTGATATGTGAGCTGTGACAGTCTGATGACAGTCCTGCACCCTCCTGCCCTCCTGGTTATTCCTTCCTGCTTTGTCCCAGGAAAAGGAAGCCTTGGCTCGGAGCTAGATGTTATCTGCAGTTCTGCCTTGTATTTCCTCTGAAGTTGAGTGCACTGTCTGTCATTCTTTCTGTACAATCTGTATTTGGACACGCAACAGTTGCAAGATATACAGCTCTCAGCAGGTGTAACATGGTAGTTTGCCCTTGCCAGTAAGAGGCACTCAGTAGCCCTCCCTAAGGCTGATGGAGCGCACAGCTTGTTGATGTTGGTGAGACATTTGCCCTGATAGAATTCTTTGACTTTTGGGTTCAGTTAGGAAGTCTAACTGATGTGCATGTTTCCCCCGTTAGCTCATACAGCTCATGTGACTTGTTTCATTCATGTGACCTCTTATTACGTATCCATCATTCCATTTTTCTTTCCTATTAGAGTGAAATTGGACACAGCCCTCCTCCTGCCTACACCCCTATGTCAGGAGTAAGTATTTCACATTCAGCCTTCATCCTTTAGGTTTTCCTTCTTCCTTCACTATGTATTTTGTGTTTCAAATCCCTTTTTCCTACATAAATGGCTCAAGAGCCAATAGTGAATGAAGTGTGTATGTAAGCAGTCAGATAGTCAAGATCTCTACTGTCAGCCTGGATTCATGTGCAAGCTCTGTGGACCCACACCCAGAACTCTGCCAGCTGCCGACTTTTCTTGCAGAAGCTTTTAGGTAACAGGCTTGGATGAATTTGTACATTTTTCCTTCCTATTTATAGGTCATGATGTTGAAAATCCCTTGCATGCCCTTGCTGACAAGCAAAATGGTAGATAGAGTCAAACCACTGAGTTGTGGTGTCAGTACAAATGCAGTTCAGCAGCTCAAACACTACTTGATGGAATGATGTAGTGTTTGGGTGACAGTGTCATCATTGCTGCAGGATACCCTGAAAGTAGGCCCCCCTGAAATAAACAGAGTTCAGAGATGATGAACCTCTATCCCCAGTCCCCTTTGAAGAAGAAGGTTTCCCTAACATGAGGTTTAAAGGGTTTGTTGAGAAACCAGGGGAGATTGACAGAGTGGTAGAAGAGGAGATACTGTGTTTGTCTCTTTCAGCTGTGTATATCCAACCTCCACATGTCTAGGGAAGAGACAAGTTTTCCAGCCCCATTTCCAGCCCTGAGCAGTCAGCTTGCTTCCCTTCTCCCCCCTCTGCACTGATGGTGCCTCCCTGGGAGGGGAAGCCAGATCAGCACCACTGGGCAGTCAGATGCTTTGCCGGTGTACAACAGTGCTTGTGCCGCTGCTGATCTTGCAGCACTGGACAAGCAGTAGGCTGCAGGATGGGCAAGGCTTCACCTGCCTGATGAAATATATCATTGAGCAAGTGTGGCAGGAAAGACACAGGAGCCACAGAGATGACTTGCTGTTGAGTCTTCTCTTCCTTCAGAGCCTCCTTTCTCATGCTGCCTTTTCTTTTCCAACAGAACCAGTTTGTGTATCGCGATGGTGGCTATGCTGGAGAAGTGCCGATGCCCTACAGAGCTCCTGGCTGCATAATACCAGAAGCCCCAGTTGCTCAAGGGGCTACAGCGGAGATCTTTGAAGATACTTGCTGTAACGGCACACTACGAAAGCAAGTGGCAACCCTGGCGAAAGAGGACAGCAGCACCCAGAGGTACAGCGCTGATCCCACAGTCTTCATACCTGAGCGGGTTGTCCGGGGAGAGCTGGATGAGGATGGGTACATGACGCCGATGCGAGACAAGCCTAAAACAGGTAAAAAAATGCTCCTGCTCTAAACCGACTGCATTCTCTCTTTTTCTGCATCAGCAGATTTTCACCAAAAATGGCTTTATTAACCAGCAAGCTTGAAACATTCTGACTAGGTTAATACATCTTTGCATGGGGACTTGTTTTTCTTTGCTTGATTTTCAACTTTGAAAAGCTCAAATGTGCCAAGTTTTGTAATTCCCCCTTTTAGTTTTCATTCTTGGAAATAACAAGAGAGAGAAATGAAAAAAAAACAAATCACCAAACAACCCCTTTTTACCCAAGCCCAAAAGTTCAGTTATTTCCAAGAAAAGGATCTATTTTTAGCCAGCTGTAGTCACCACTTCGCTTTGTTTATTGATCGTCTTTATCTTCATGGCATTGTGCTTGGTAAATGTCATGTTGAACGTACCACCACAGCAGTGATACAGTTGGCATTTTATACCCTGGAGAAGTTTAGGTTTGAAAGAGCAAGATGTGCTTCAGAGAGACCATCCATGTAAGGTGAAGTTTGTTTAGACCTGTGCCAGCTCAGTGCTACACTTCCTCAGTTCGCCATCATCTGTTTCTTCCTTTTTCAACAGTGACAGCAGTCATTTAGATGTAAAGGGATGTGTCACTAGTAATTTGCTTCCAAACCTTTGCATTAGCTTTAAAGAAATTAATTAATGCAGATGTAAATGCCAAGTAACTACTGTGTTTGCTAAGAATTTGGGAGCCACTTACTGCTTGTGTTGCACAAGGGAAACAGAGGGAGCCCTGGGGCTCGACTCACAGCAGTAGCAATAGTAGAAGTGCATTCATGGTCCTACACTTCAGCAGTCACCCTTGCAATAAGAGATTTGATGATGTGATGTGAACCCATACGTGTTCACAAACAGGTTCACCCTGGAGATCCTGAGATTTCTGCAGGAGCTTAACACTTCAGAGGTGCTACGTCAGCTCTTGAGATGTGGTAGTGAAAAAGGAGAAAGCACCTCCTCCCTGTCTCACTGGGCACAGACCCAGGCATGTCATGGTGTGGCCATGCTGTGTGCTGTCTGTCAGCTGGGGGATTCAAATCAAAGCACTGCTTGGCTGTCATCACTGTATCTGCCCTCCTGGTACAAGTGTGTGTGCCTGTCCACCAAGTTTTAGCTGTGTTCAGAGATACTCACCAAGTCTTGAACTTTTGCATTCAGTAGTACTGGCCCCAGCCTGCGTACAAGCAGAGCTGAAGTGAGGACCATAGCCACCTTCTTACAACAGGCAGGGTCCTCTTTCCTCTGTGTGGAGGTGTCTCCAGAGCCCATGACCAGACCCATGCCACTGGAAATGGAGCCCTTCTGTTGGCATCCCTGTGCGCCACAGGCAGGCTGAGAGATCATTCCTCACTAGTGGCAGTGGCTTGGGGACCCTGTTTTGTGAGGAACCTCTGGGCTGTGAGATGAAAGGCAGAGTTAATACTGGAAGTGGGTTTGATCTGATGAGTTCCAGCCTTCAGTCAACTGCATGCTTTTCGTATCTTCCTGCACCCCACCACTCTTGTCCCCATCTCACCTCCAGGCCAGTCCCTTTGCAGCCCACTTACTTTGTCAGTGACTTCCCTCCTCCCCACCTGGTTGGCTTTCTGTTCTGCAGCCAGACCTCATTACACACAGTGCAAGGCAGGACATGACGCACAACAAATCCATTGCTCCATGGCTCTGCTTTCCGTGGGGGACCATCGCAGAGACCTTACTAAATGTGCATTTTTAACCTAGCACAGCCAGTCTCTTCATGTTTCTCTTCCCTTCCCACCTCCTGTCCAGCTTTCTGTGCACGCTCTATATGCAATAAAACCTGCTGCAGTTCAGCTACACTTCTTTTTTGTGGTGTTAATTCACAGAAACGGATTTGAAGTAACTGCAGCCTGCTCCAGCTCCTGGTTTGAAGCTGATGTAAGGGTCTCTTGTACCCTTTCCAGGGCTCATTTGAATCATTTTTGTCATAATGCTTTGAGGCCCTTTGTTCTTCAGGGATGGGAGGTTTTTAATAAGGTAAATTGTTCTGTTAGAAATGAAACTGGCTTAGAAGTTAGCCCTTGGGGATGGCTTTTGTGCAGAGAGGCTTAACTAAGATTTCTAGAGAGCTTTCTGGATGGGAAGACTGCAGAGCAGAGGGTTTGACTGATAATGCCCAAGGTTGCAGAGAGGGTCAGCAGCAGAGGCAGAAGCTGCTCATCATGTTTGGCTCTGTAGATCATATACCGAGGGGAAGTCCAGGATCAAGCAAGACACGTGGGCTATGGCTCAGTGAGATGTGTAGCTTGATTTGCCGGTATGTGTAATAAGTCACTTCATCAGTGAGAGCTTTCAGTTTAGCCCATATGGTCTGTTTAGGTTGCAGATTCTTCACTTTTAGCAAGTGTGTGTTCAACGTAGTCAGCACATGGAGTTCTAGGAATGGCTGGGTGGAGGATGCACAAGTCCAAGCACCACCTGATAGTAACATACACATGATACTTGCTATGTGGATGGGTTACTCCCTCTTGTTGCTGATTTACTTTTTATCTTTCCGTAGAATACCTAAACCCGGTGGAAGAGAACCCATTTGTTTCCCGGCGAAAGAACGGAGATCTCCAAGCTGTGGACAACCCGGAATATCACAATGCTCTGAACGGGCAGCCCAAGGCAGAGGATGAGTACGTGAACGAGCCATTGTACCTCAACACGTTTGCCAACACCTTGGAAAAAGCTGAGTACCTGAAGAACAATTTGCCAGAGAAAGCCAAGAAGGCCTTTGACAACCCAGACTACTGGAACCACAGCCTGCCGCCACGAAGCACCCTCCAGCACCCGGACTACCTGCAAGAGTACAGCACAAAGTACTTTTACAAACAGAACGGCCGGATCCGGCCCATTGTGGCAGAGAATCCTGAATACCTCTCCGAGTTCTCCCTGAAGCCTGGCACTGTGCTGCCCCCGCCACCCTACAGACACCGGAACACAGTGGTGTAGTGACCGCCGTCTTACACAAGTGGAAAGGCAACCCCTTCTAGCTGCCTCACTCTTTCTCTCTCTCCCCTTTCTCCCTCCTTCTCTCCCTTTCTTTCTCCCATGAGCTTCCTTTTCTTGCCAGTTCACTCATTTTTGATATTTCTAAGTGAAAGGATGTCTCGCAGTTGTTTGCAGATTGGGTTGGGAACCTGGAAAGAAGGAAGGAAAGAGACTGAAAGAAGGCACGTACAACCTGGCATTTCTCACTTTCTGCAGATCTGGAGGCTCGGATGGTCGGAGAAGCCAGACAGTACCAGTAAAGGCCAGTGGCAGTGTCGCCTGCTGTCAAGCTAGTTCTCAGTGATTCAACCCACACGCTGCAGGGAAAGCCACAGAGAGGCTGTTTGTTCCAGCAGGATCTAGTGAGAGTCTGTACAGCATTCCTGGAAATCTCGATGCAGTTTCCATCAGGGGGGAAAATGGACAATTTTTATATCAGGTGTGATAGCACAGTAATTGAGATTGAGAATCCAATTTCTTTCGCTAACACTTTCTAGCCCAGCAACTGAAAAAGGCTAACCTGGCTTTTCATAACCATTCAGACCTTCACCGTGGCTTTCCAAGAAATGATGATGGGACTCTAATACATGGCTAAACCCTTTTTCTGAGCCACACCATGATTTTGTGCCAATTTCTAACCACAGAGACTCCCACTTAGAACTGGGACGTGACACGACCATTTTTGTACATGTGCCAACATGACAAACACAAAACCCTTTCGGAAGGGAGTAACAAAACCACTCCTTCAACATGTCCTTTTTGAAGCTAAAAGGCCAAGAAACCAAGATTTGTATGCAGAACACTTTGCTTTCCTGTTTTATACCTGCTGAGTATAAATACATACTAAAACCTAAACAATTCCTTCCCTCTTTTTCTTCTCCATGATCATGAAGGGAGTTGGGGATGCTGTCAGGCAACACTGAGGACAAGACAGAGAACTGGACAGTTTGATCTGGGTCATGAAGTCTGCTGGTGTTCTGTGGGGCGGTGGTGGGAAGGGTCCTTTAAACTGGAAGACAGACACTGGACTGGAGAAAACTCACATAGCAGTTCACTGGAAAGTTAGTTTGCACTTTGCTCTGATTTTATTTGAACTGTTTTCTGGATTTTGAATGAAGCAATATGGAAGTGACCAGCAAAATACAAAATACTCATTTTAAATTGATGAATTCTATGTAAAGGATGACTGTGGAAATGCCAAAATGAAGCAAATCAAGTCTTTGGAACAATGTCGACCAGTTCTGAGAGGCCATTGCATTGACTGCTTCAGAGAATACAGTGACAGAGCAGCTAGCTCTAACTGCTGCCACGGGAAGGACAGCAGAGCAAGCTCTGAAAGGGACTGGAGGAGACAAATGTCTTGCTCTGGCTTGCAGCACAGTACGGAATACTTTTTTTTTCCTAACAGGAGGATTACTCTGGCACAGAAGATGGTGCACACGAGGCGTGAGGATTCAAACCGTGCATGACTCGCAGCGCTTTCCATCAAAAATGTAAATAAGTATGAGTCAGTCTCCTTGCACTTAGTTCTGCTTTCATCAACCTCACTTTTTAGGTAGATATCCCCCACCCCTGGCCTGCTTCTCTTTGGAAATAACTTTCAGCCAGAGTTCTGGACGTTTTTAGCAACCTGAGGCAGATGGAGCTGGGAAGGGAGGCGTAAGGGCCAGAGACACTGATGGCTTGCTCCTGACACGCCAAGACCCATGTGTGTAAGAGCATTCGTGTACCTAGCTCCTACCCAAAATCTTAAGGAACTGTTAAGTACCTTTGGAGACCTGCCTATGCCTTTATCCATCAAGGCTTTTAAAGGGAAAGAAACAGTACCTGATGGATGCCAATCTTAGGTGGTACAACAGTATTTCAGTTTATGTGCTTCAGTGCTGTTAAAGTCAAGATCTTTGGGGTGACCTAACCTGGCAACAAAACCAGCAACAACCCGTGGTATGGAAACAGCATCAAGTGCCCCCAGTTCCTGCCATCTCAGCGGCTCGCCACCTTGAATTGTAGGGAAGCAGAGGAAGGAGTAAGAAACAAGCAGTAGTTAACCCAAAGCTTGGTGGCTGAGGGTCGGTTTGACAAAGGTATGAAGAGATTTCAAACGTGGGTTGGTTGGTGTGATTGTAGATGGGAAACAAATTGTGTTTGATCACTAGGTCAAGGTTGGTCCAGCCAACAGCCTGTTTCTGCATCAAGTGTGTTCAGGCCAGCTTGAACCAGCCATGGGGTGGATGTTAAACCTGTAACCCCAGTGCATAGCTGAAGAGTCTGAAAACAGCAAGAATAAGTGCAGAACTTTGAATCTATTCGAGGGAGGTGTTGGGCCAGGTGGTACCAAGGTGGTTCACGGTAGCAGAACAAAATGACCACCAGATCACCGAAGTGGGATAGATGGTTACAAAGCCATCACCCATCTGAGAGGCCTTACCTCTTCCTGGTGTCTCCATAACTCCTCATGGTCTTGACAGGAGACAGAGGCAGGCATTGGGCAGGGGTAGGGGTGCAGGGGGAGGTCCTGCAGACACCACTCCAGGGGAGGTTTGCCTGCAGTAGTGCTCACAGGGTGTCACCTGAAGCATGGGCAAAGGTCTGACAGGTTGGGTTGTAGTTGCCATGCTGCTGGGAGACAAAGACCAGCACAGAAGCAGCTGGGGTAGGTGGAGAAAGGGGTTGATTTGTCCCTGAACAAGTCTGGTAGCAGAATAACTCCTAATGGAGAAAAAGTGAAATAAACTCCTGGCACAGCTGATGTGTTTGAATTCGAAAGGGTGCAGAAGGATGAACACCTCCAGCTCTGGGTGGAATGGGGCCAGGAGGTAGCTGCTAACGGAAGGTGAGGCCCGTTTGTTCCTCTGGTGTTGGAAACGAGCCTGTCATATGATCAAAATATAAATAACTGGGGGGTTAACCATTGAACACTTTATTTCTCACAAAACTTGAATTATTTATTCATTTTAATCATTGACTGTGGGCGTGGCATATTCAGTAGCATGGAAGTGGAGAGGATGCTTGAAGGCCGGAACGGCAGCTCCCTTACTGTTTGGCTCGGCCCTGCATCCAGGCTGAGCTGTGTCTTTTAATACCAACCAGTGACAGGTTTGAGGGTAAGCAGGGATTTCCACACACCCAGTGCATTCTGTCAGCACAGAGCAGTAGGGGCGAGCATCAGCAGTAGTATTCTGTCTGGGTATCATTAATACTCTAGTTCTGCAGTGGTATCTGTACACAGCACTGTCAGTTCTGATGGATCTTATAATGCTGTCTCCTATCTATAAAGGTTTTCCTTTCCCTTACCATAGCCTGCATGATGGAAGAGCAGTGACTAACTTCTCAAGAGCAGATGCCTGAGTGTGTACCAGCCATTGTCCAAGGCACAAAGCAACGTGCTGAATGAGAGAGCAACACCTTAGGTTTTCCTAATCTTTCTCATGATATTTATCTGAGTTGTTATTGTCTACCTGAGGGTGATTTCAAACAGACATGGATGCTGGGTCTGATTGACTTTGCTGGAACATAATTGACTGAAACCAACTCCTTTTAAGCTTCTTCCTTCAGCTCTTTTCAGTTTTTCCTGCAGAATAGCCAGGAGGGATTCTTCTGTGGCCATTCACTCAGATGTAGCAGAGTATTTACAGTTTGCTTTCAAACAGGTCATCTCTCACAGGTAGCAAGCAATGGGAAGAAATCCAAGTGAGTAGGAGCCACTGTGTTTCAGATATCTCAAGTTCAGCCCTGAAATCCTTTTCTATGTAGAAAGAAAGGTTACGTTAACCCTGGTTGTACCATTTTAGTAGAAAATGCATTTCTTGACTGCAGGAATTGTATGTAATGACCCCATTCCCATCATTTCCTGGATTAACGGGGGAAGACCTTTCCCTTATTGTCCCACAGCCAGTAAGCCCAGCGGCTGCATGCGAAGGGCAGTGGGTGCTGGGGCAGGGCAGCCAATCTGGCACTGGTTTCCACTAAGGATTTGAGGGGCAGTATTTGCCCCACCCTCAACCACCACTAATACCAGTTTAGATGCCAAGAAAATGGCAACTCTGGCAGACCAGCTTGATCCTGATTCTCTGGATCCCTTGTTTCCACAGCTACAGATAGAGCTGGGCAGGGTGGTGTAAGGTATTAGCTGCGAGGTAAGTCTGCTTGGGTTGGGGGGTGTGGAAATGGACTTACATGGGAAACTAGGATATGGAAGTAAAGATCTTTCTGTGCCTGCTGGGGTGTCTGCATCGGTGTCCTGTGGCATGGTGGCAGCCAAGGGAATGAAAGGATTGTGTTAGGCTCCTTTATACTGCCTGGTTGATGAGGAAACCTTGGCACAGGCCAGAATTAGGCTGTTTGTTGGTCATGTAATTCTCCAGGGTAACTGAAGGTATCCGTCTGGGCAGCCTTGCTTCCCCACAGAGCACTGTGCACCCTGGGCAGGCTCTATGGAAGCACCCATGTATGCACACACGTGGACACTGACCCTTCTAGGTGTAGGGGAGTAACATGAATTCCCCTGGGACTGACAGCTGAGGCATACCTTGCTTGTCAGGATGGATTTTTCCCTCACTTTGCACAACTGGTGTATTGGGGCAGCCACCGATTCCCACTCCCATCTCAGAACTGTTGAGCTCAGGTAGGTGTTTTCCTGCTTTGAAGGCTGTTTAGCTTGAGGGTAGCAGCTGTAACAGAGGCTTTAGCCCTCTGGTCATCAGTCATCTCTTTGGCTCTTAAGCACCTCAGAGGGGCCAGTGTCACCCTGAGTTCCCTTCAGCAGGTATTGTCAAAGGGTGGTGTTATGGCAGGAGCATGAAGACTGCATCCCTTCATTTCTAGCTCTGTCACTTGCAATATCCTTATTCCCATGGATTTTGGACCTGTGCTGCTGAGAAAACTGCTTGTCTGTTGTTAAATAAAATCTTGAATTTGGGTTCAGATGGGGGGGGGGGGGGTCGAGGAAAGGCGGGGAGCTGAGGCTGCACGGGGTGGCGTTGGTTGTCTGCAGCTTTTGTGCTCCATCACATGTGAAGAGCTGTGACATCCCATGAGGGAGCCTCTGCAGCGTCACAGTGGTTGGAAAATTCCCTCTTTTTTGTTTCCTGGCTTTCACTAAGGTAGGAAAAGGTCACTGTTAAACATGGGGGTTTCAGGTTGGGAATAAAGAACAGAAAGCAAACTCAGTGGTTAGAAACACCACTCTAAAACATCCAAAAATCATGTTCTCACCTTTGTTGTAGTTTTATTTTAGCACAAGGTCATATTCCTGTACTGCTGCATGGATTAGGATGTTGTTGTGCTGGTAGGCTCCGTGTTCCCAGTGCCGGCTGGGAGCTGCCTGAGGTGCAGGTGATCAGTGCAGGGGGAGCACATAGGTGTTTAGGTCTGACTGACCCTGGTGGGACTCAGTGGGACCAGCGCATCTCCTAGCCAGAGCTAAATGGAGGAGGAGCTTCCACCCAGGGCATCCTCCCACGGGGGTCTCTGCCAGGAGGGGGTGGTGAGGAGAACCTGTGGATGTTATCCCCATTAGGAAAACAGGAGGAATCTGAGCTGCATTTCTTTCCCCCTTATTTAATTTGCAGAGTGAGCTTTGAGGACCTTGGTAGAGAGGGGTTTAAGGGGAGATGTGTGAGGTTTCCCAGGGTAATTGTGTCACAGTGCTTCTCCCCTCCCCAGTAAAAAAGCCATGAAACCGTGCTCCAGACGTGGTGTGGGTGAAACCCCCAGGGCAGAGGTGCCTCCTGCACAGCCCCTCTCGCTGGTGGCTCAGGTGTGACCAGGGCACACATGGACACGGAGCTATGCGCTGCCCTTGAGCACTGGCTGCCACCGTCCCTGTGCTGTGCCCTGCCCTGCCCAACCTTTGAGCCCTCTTAGGGAGAAAACACTGTATTGTCCATAGCACTCCGAAGACTAAACCCTTTTGGGATAACCACAGTAATAAACTGTGAATGGTATTTTATAAGTAGGTGTAGATATGTACGCCGTTCTTTCGAGGTAAGGTACTATGACATATGTAGCATAAACTGGTACTGCTGTTAAATGGGTCGATTATTAACTGAGCAGCTGTGTAAGGGGTAGCTAACTTTGAATGCACTAAACACTGTTCCACCAGCTGAGGTGGGGCCTCAGTTGGGTAGCTGCTGGGTACTTGTCTTTTTAGGGTGGGAGATGT